CCTTAGCAAAGCGCATCCCAGGCTGCATAGCCGCACTACCCTACCCAACCATACCACACATAAACATGACACTACCCCCGGGGTTTACACAGACGAGCCGGCGAAGCAAGAAGAGCGCCAGAAGAAAGGGCCCTAGCCGGCGGGGCCCAGCCAGGACAAAAGGAGGTCCCACAAAGCGCCTACACCGGCCGCATTTGCGGTCGGGGTAGACGACGGATGGGGCCCACCTACGAAGGCTGTCCAGGCCTACACGAGATGAGGCAGGATAAAGAGGGATAATCCCCCTCGATCCCAAATCATTGAGGCCAATTTCTAGCCATGGAATAATGGCGGCGGCGGCACTACATCAATTTCAGTTCAGTACAAATATTTAATGAAAGAAATGATAGATGAATAGATGATGAATAGAAGATTATGTAGGTACAGACTTCGCCTATGATTGTGGTGTGTTTGCCAATGAAACTACTTTAGCTGACGTCACAGAGAGGCACTTTCTTGTCGTATAGGTGGTATAGGGATACTAGAACTACTTCTAACTGTCTGATAACACCGGTGTGCATTGTGTTGCATAGTTCATTCTATGTATGTTGCAAAGTGTCCGCATACAGAGTATGTACATCGCTTTGCAGAAGTTAATAGATATTACGTATTTGATGCAATTGCGGATATTTATTTATAGTATGTAATCCTCGCCTGGATTCAGCCTCATAGTAAGTAGCAACAGATAATTATTGTAAGGTCACGCAGTTATGTATTATTATACTTATTTTAAGGTGTAGGATTAAAAAAAATGTTTATAATTATTAGCGGACAGCTATAAAACAAATTAGTGATATTTGTTTTGATGTTGTGTTGATGCGTTGATATCTTTTAGATCTGTAAAATCAAGATGACAAAATGCAGTTAAAAAGTTTGAGAGCAGAGATGTGATAAAATATAACAGATGTAGTAACATAAGTATGACTCCTTTCAGACACATTCACTTATCGCGTTTATCCAATTTGGCTGCTCTTTGGATACAATTAAGAATAAACATCACTAATGGAATTTCTTTTCAAAGAAGACCAATAGATAAAATTTTATCGGTTCATTGAAATTAGTTCACTACATTAAAGATAAATAGTTATCTATTGTATTAGACGATAAAATAATATTTTATCAATTGGTGAATTAATTTTAGGAGTCGGTAATACATGTATTTTAGCGGCGTGTATAATCTATATTCTTCAATATTAATTTATAAAAGGACAATCGCAGCGTAATAAATAACTATTGTTCTAATCTGCTCAACTTTGTGTTGTCCTGTTTGTTCTGCGCAAACTAAAAGTAGAAATGTGCGGAAACGAATTTTGAAGAAAACTTTCCTCCAGACGCGAAACAAGGAAAAACATGCATTAGAGGGCCTGGGGTAGCTATTATCCTAAAATCGTGGCTGAAAAAGAATATACGTGCTTTCGTGGAAGTGGAACAGCGTAAAGAATGTCGATGTTGTGAGTAAAAAGGCACTTCTGGGATACTTTTTAGAGAAGGAAAAAAGTAAAACCGTGAATATTACTCGACGCTAAAGTTAATGTTTCAGAATAGATAATATATCTGATGATTAATCATCAAATAACGCTTCGTAATGTTTGCAAACTAATTATATTGCTAAATAAATTAACAATGGTCACAAATTTAAAAAATTGAAAGTCTTGGAACCAGTAGATGTCATGAGAATTTTAAGAGATGCTTCAGATGATGACTGTTTGTCTATGAAGGTGAAATTATGGTTTCTTCAATAGTTTTAGTAATTTAGATTTTTCATTACAGGTTGTTGTAATAATTGGGTCTGTCTGTAGCGCGCCTATGCAATGAATTATACAAATTGAAAACTTCAAATCTTGATGATCAAAAATCGGTCATAATTGTCTTACTTAGCGACATCAAATCTAAGCAAAATCGGTTGTTTTGCATTAATGGCAAAAATATGTGTTGTGAGTAGGCTTAGTGTGGCGCGGAGTTTAACAGGACCGTAGTCAGATTACGAATGAAAATATTAATATGTTTACAGAAAATATGTCGCAACATCTTATATTACCAAAGAGCAAGGCTAAGTAGAGGATAAAATACCTATATAAATTTAATTGCCACTACTTACCCGATAAACCTTAGTGTTGAGACCAGAGATATTGAGTAGGGAGAAGGCTCATTGACTTCTACGCACCCTATTTTCGAGGGACACTACCAGTGCCGCCATTTTGAACATGAATTTGTTTTGTTTTGCTGGAATGCTGGAAGTCAAATTCGCCAAAAGTCTGATGCAGTTCCAAATTTAGAAGTCTATTTAACTAATAAAGCCGACGCTTCATCCACAAATTCAGTTGAAACATTACATACCATACAAAAAATGCTCCATTTACTTCATCGATGTCATTAGATGATACGGCAGAGCGTTCTAAGCTTAACCAGAACCATTGGTAATATTATTTTTTGTTAATACTAATTTTTTTAAATAAATATTATTTTCCCTGGCAGTCTATATTATTATTTTAGTGAATTGTCATCTAGTCAAGATACTTCTGCAAGTACCTACTGATAGCAGCACAAGGAGAAAAGTTTTTTCAAACCGAACTTAGTTACAGATACATTTTAGAAAAAACAGTAATTTGGTTATGCGAGTTATACACTTTACATGTATTTTGTCTCCAACCCCAACCAATGACTATATTGCTTAGCTTACATGTTACATTATTTCAGTATATCACCTGATAAAATTAAGAAAAAATATTCAGAATTACCGCAATAAGACGACTTTTAGTATTCACTGAAAATAAATTGCCACATGAAAAGGATTTCATGATTGTATTTGTTACTTCTGTGGTACAACAACTATTTTATAATTGTGCAGGAGAACTGTTCTCTAGTTTAATAGAGTACAATGTATCACTCGCATGAAAGTCATTTATTAATTCTAACGAAAAGTGTTGTTACTGCATATATGCGTATAAGATTTTTTAATTTAGGCAAACAATATACTGAAAAAATTCAGGGACATCTAATACGAAAACAACTAAGTTAATATTATTTAATGATCAATAAATAAAATATGTAAAATCATTATTATTTGTTCATACTAGTTTATCTTTATATTTCAAAATAGTTTTTTTTTAGATATTTACCAATTTCAGAAAAAAACCTATTAAAATATAAAATGTTGCTCATATAATTTGAATCTTTATTTTTGGTATTGTATTTTAAATTTGCCTCTCCCTGTTCCTATTTAAATTTCCCTAAAATTTATCTGTGTTGGCAACCATGATGTTCAAAATGGCGACCATTGTTATTAGCCGCTGGCGCAGGTTGTAAGAGCATTCTCCCCACTCTATATCTCTGGTTGAGACAAGGCTCCCGTGACGTATTGGAAGAAGTTAAAACATATTATTACGTACTTTTCTAAGTTTTCCTTAGTGAAACGGCGACGTTTATCACTTACTATTAACTTGTGTAGGGAAAATGACCGTTCAACGTCCACTGTTGACAATGGTCAGTATGAGAAATTGTTGAGGCATGAACTATATATTAATATATTTGCTGGTAACTCCTGATATGTACCAGATAAAACTTTACATATGTTTTCTAAAATGATGTATCCTGGATTTTTTTCAAACACTGCATTTTTTCTTTTATCGTACTGGGCATATATTATTGGCATAGTATATATATTTTTTATATCATTCATTATATCAAATTGTTCATTTAGGGATACCTGATATTAGCAGAGTACAAAGTTAACAGTATAGACACTTGTAGACTCTGTGATAATACTGTACAAATTCCAATAGCTAAAATGAATATTTTATCATCTTCACTGTGTCATAATCATAAGCATAATGTCCCTACAAGCCTGAGTTGTTCCATTTTATACTTTCGCTTCCAAAATCAAAGCTACGATATTAGGATTCTAGTAAAGGCTTAGTCAGATTTCACATTTTATTTAAATTTATTGCTCATTTTCATGTTTTTCTTTTTCAGATGAAGTTTTTCGGTATACAATTTGCGCCACTGAATGTCCCTCTAGAACGTCGCCTTCAAACTCTTGCGGTGGCAACCACGATGTTCGTAGTTTTGGGCACCATCATCATAGGATTCCTAATAACTGTATATCTCATAGTATTCACAACATTTTGGTGGCTGGCAGTTCTATACCTCTTTTGGATCTACGTGATAGACAAAGACGTTAGTGAACGGGGTGGGAGGCCAATCAAATGGTTACAGTCTTGGCAGTTGTGGAAATATACGAGAGATTATTTCCCTTTACGTTTCGAGAAATTACCTGGAGTGGAATTGGACCCCAAGAGGAACTACTTGTTCTGCATTTATCCTCACGGTGCAATGTGCGCTGGAGCATTCAATGCCTTCGCCACTGAATGGGGAGGTTTTAAGCATTATTTCCCACACCACGTTCCTCATGGTGTGACCATGTCACCACATTACGTCATGCCGGTTTTTAGAGAGCTAGCTCTATCTTTGGGAGGTATATCCGCCTCGGCTAAATCGATAGATTACGTCCTGGGACTTCCTGGAGGTGGTCATGTTTGTGCTTTGATAGCAGGTGGAGTAGCTGAAACACTGTACAGTAAGCCGGGACGTTACACGATCTTCTTGAAAAAGAGGAGGGGTTTTGTGCGGTTGGCTTTGAAGAATGGAACGTCATTGGTGCCTGTGGTGTCGTTCGGCGAAGTAGATCTGTTTGAGGAGCTGCAAGGATCATGGGTGACATATCTACAGGAATTGTCTAGGAAATGGTTCGGAGTGACGCTGCCTCTATACACTGGAAGGGGCTTCTTTCAGTATTCCTTTGGGATGATGCCTCATAGAAGGAAAGTTACCACCGTAGGTATGTACTAACAATATATTAACATTGGCCGTTTGTATTTTATCCATCCAGCGCCCTGTTATGTTACGGCAGGTGGATTGATATTATACAGAGTGTCCGTTAAAGAAACTTTACCACTAGATTCTACGACGAAAATTAATGGGGAAAAGTCATATACAATGCTGCTCATAAACGCTTAGTTTTCGAGACACAGGGTGTTGAAGTTAAAAAAACAAAAACGATTTTCAAGCATATCTCGGAGATACATTAATGGATTTTTCTCTAATTTGATATGAGGAGTTTTAACGGGGACCTACATCATTTGCTGCGATTTCACGTAAATACAAAAAAACAGTGGCGTGCAAACTACACTTTGAGGACAGTCCATTTTGCTATAGTTCATAGCCACTTAACTTATGGGATAATATTGTGGGGTAATTCTAATTCAATTAATAGGATTTTTGTTTTGCAATAATCAGCGATACGCATTCTTACGGGTGAACCCTATGGGATCCCTTGTCAACCCTTATTTAGGCAATATCGTATCATGCCGCTGCCTTGTATATGTATTTTTGAAACTCTATTGCAAATATACCGTAATAGAAGGAAATTTCGTAAACATTCTGATATTCACTCGTATAATACCAGGAATGCTGATGATTTTTTTACGGACATTTCCTTAATTTGTATCACTCAAAATAATAAAATGAATATTATACAGGGCGTTACAAGATTAAGTCGACAAACTTTAAGGAGATATTCCCCATAAAAAATTAGGAAACAAATCAAGTATAAATTTTATTCCAGAGACGCTTCATTTTCAAAATATAGAGCGTTAAAGATTTTTAAAAAAATTCGAATTTTTTAAATAACTTCTAAATGAAGAAGGTTATTTAAGCCAAATTTGGCATGACACATCTTCTTATAAGATACCATTTTTCCATAAAAGTAGTCCTGCAAGCAACCAGTGGCGGAGTTATGGGGACTCATATCCCCACATCTCCGCCACTGGTTGCTTGCGGGACTTCTACTTCTATGGAAAAATGGTATCTTATAAGAAGATGTATCATACCAAATTTGGCTTCTTCATTTAGAAGTATTTAAAAAATTCTTTAACGTCCTATATTTCGAAAATGAAGCGTCTCTGGAAAAAAATTTATACTTGATTTTTTCTTATTATTTTATGAGGAATATCTCCTTAAAGTGTGTCGACTTAATCCTGAAACACCCTGTATAACGTCATTTTAGGGGTTTTAAGGTGGATGTGAATAAATTAAGTTTTGACGAGTTCCATAAATTGTGTAAAAACTTTTTATGGAATATTTGTTTTTATACCGTACTATGTACGTAGAAATGGGTAATAAATACTTACTATTACTTATTTGCTATATTTTCGAGACCCTTTCCTAAAAAATAAATGTTACGCCACTGCGTAAAGGGGTAAATAAATAATATTTTTCAAATTCTCAATGATTTTTCAGCATAAATATACTTGTCGAATATCGCTGAGATGCACCGTTTTTTAAAAAAAACTGCGTTTAAAGTCGACAAGGAAGTGCAGATCAAAAGTGTTATTTATTAACATTTATTTTTTAGAAAATGGTCTCGAAAATATAGTTTGCACTCCACTGGTATTTTATATTGACGTGAAATCGCAGCAAATGATGTAATTAGAAACGTGAATGATTTAAAAAAAAATATTTTAAACCTGTCGTATTAGTATTTTTATTTATTTTTTATTACGTACATTTCTTTTCTATTGCGGATTGGCTTTCTGCCACTCCGTTAGTTTTATGCAATTAGTTTAAAAAGGTAATAACTGGAAACACTGATAATCGTTCTCATATAACGGAACTCGGAAGATGCCTAGTGGAGGTGTAGACAAGTATTTAAGTACTGTTTAAGAAATGAAATATAAATAGACTATTTATTTGATTTAAAAAAATATATTTCAGATTAGCACAATAGAATTGATCCCTACTTAAAGTTGCACCCTGTATAATAATAATATTAGTCATCAATCTGCAAAGGCGTATTTATAATTTATTATTAATACAGAATAAATAACAGTACCTATTCGAGTTTTAAAAATACATTTTCTTCTTTGCTTGCATAATATTTTTATCTCAGAATCAATAAGTGGTATTATCCTGGAAAATATTTATGACAGTTATTCTGTCATGGACCGTACATTACTATTTTTTGCAGTTGGTTTTCCAATAGAAATACCAAAAGTAGAAGATCCAACTAGAGAGCAGGTGGATCACTACCACGCAGAGTTCGTGAAGAAGTTAACGGACATGTTTGAGGAGCAGAAATACAACTACTTGGAGAAACCTGAAGAGAAACATCTGGAAATAGTATGATGAAATTCGTTATGTCATAATTCTCATATTTTATATCAAAGCCCTTTTATCTTTTATTCATGATTTCGGAATCATAACGCGTTACAATCGATCCGATGGAATCAGGTTGCTGGATTTCGGATGGTAACGCGTTATAATTCTGAAATCATGAATAAAAGAAAATAGCTCATATGTGTAAACTGCTTATTGGATCAGTGTTTTACATTCAAGGTGTGCTACAAGCTCTGTAACAAACTTTGACAGATGGTAGCCTAGGTAGGTTAATTTCAAGCATTTTTTCTTATGTAAACATACGTCCGATTCGTTTTTGTTTAGAAGTTAAAGCATTTTAAAAAATATAATTTCATATTTCAATCAAATAAAAATGATCGTTGCTGTAACAGTTATTATTTGTGTCATTTTGTTTATTCATTTGAAACTTAGCGTTAAAGTGTTAAATAAAAAATTTATTTTCATTTATTTACAACTGAAGAAGAGTATGCAGATATTGTCTTTGTCCAATGGGAACGCCAGGCAAACAAGCAGCCCGAGAATACCGACGAATATATCCAAATAGACATCAACCTGCCCAAACAGTCTTTAGTACATCATTTTGTAGACTTCGAGAAGGTAACCCCCGCTCCAAAAAAGGTCGTTCGTCCTATACTGAAGATATAATAGAAGGTGTCATTGATAACTCTTCAATTAGTGTTCAGCGTATAGTGTATAGCAAGTAATCTTCATTTATCACCGAATTTTGTATGGCGTGTATTGAACAGAGAAATACATACTGGAGATACTCATTAACGATTAGAATTTTCTCGCTGATTACTTCAACAACATGCATAAAATGATGGTTTCATTTCGTTTGTCATGTGATATGATGAAGCGTGTTTTACTAGGGATGGCAGAAATAATAATCATAATGAACATATCTGGGCGTTACAATTAGATCAAGACGATTTCAGCTACGTTTCAGTATTAACGTTTAGAGTTGCATTTTCAACAATAATTTACTGCCTGTGTGTGTTTTAAATGATCGTTTAATGCAGATCTGTATAGAAATTTCTTGGAAAACAACGTTTTGATTTCATTGATGACGTAGGGCCGAACAGGGAGATAAGTAACTGCTTGGTTTAAATGATAATTTCGCGAATAAATGGATAGGTCAACGAGTTCCAATAGCATGGTCACCGTTTTCCCCAGATCTAAATATTATTAAGATTTGTTAATTTGGTTAATGGAGGTTAACTAATGTTTAAACTTTAATAAATAATAATTATTGTCATAGTAACCATCATTTTTATTTATCAGGCTACTACGAAATATAAAATAATATTTTTAAAATGCTTGTAAACTAAACAAAAACGTATCCGATCTACAAGAAACAATGTTTGAAACTGCCTCAGCCACCATTTGCCAATGTTTGTCATAGAGCTTGTGGAACACCCTGTATAACTATAAGTGTATGTTTAGTTACTTTATCCTAGTCAATAGTTGTTACTTTAGAAGACGGTTTAATTTATTTTTGTATAAATAATAAATATTGGATAGAATATATTTTCAGTTTTTTTTCCAAAATATCTGAGATTGTCTGGTTATAGTCCAGCTATTAAGTTTTAAGATTGATTTTGTTGTGGTGAAGTGAGTGGCGCCATCTATGTGCGGTCTACGTAGTGGGAAGCCTTAAAATATCTGCGCTACTGGTTTCAGTATCCCCAAGTTTTTGTGGGTTGATTATACGACCCCTGTTTTTCAATAACTTAATAACGCACGTGGTTGATGTTTTTATAAAATAGATATTTTTTGGAAACTATTTTCCTCTGAAATATATTTTTGATGATAAACAGTTTTTAGTGGCTTGAATATCTCTCTAGATGAGAGTTATGGGTTTCAAGTTTATTAAACTGCACCTACTTGGAATCACGCCTTTTGAACTATAAGGGATGTTGTAAATAAGTCACCTCTACAATAGACTTAATATTTTATTTACAAGAGTATTTACATTCTTCTCTTTTAAAATTATGTTAGGTAAAACATAATTCAAATCCATTTTCTCCGGTTCACAAATCGCTCGGGAATGATCGTACGCCTTAAGTACATTTTTATATATTACAGATGAACACTAGTTTTATGCTGATGATAATTCTTGGTCCAGGATAGTGAATCATATTAATTCAATGAAGGTCTAAGGAAAATTTTTGCTTTTTACTTAAAAAAGTTAAAGAAAAACGAATTACTTAAAATAAGCCGCCGCACTTCTGATCTTGGCAACACATTGGCATTGGAAAATCACCAGTACAAGCAAAATGTGCGAGATGTTTCGATGTACTGACAATTTGAAAGGAATAAAATAACTTCTGAACTTCCGACGACACTTTGGATCGATTCTCAAAACATCTTGCACATTTGTGAAGTGACACCGACGGTTGAGCTCTTCTTTTATAAAATCATCATCCACCCTTCCATTACCAGCCGTACAGCACTTGCTCTCACTCACACACATATCTCATTTCTCGGAACCAATATTTAAAGTCCATTCCGTCGGAATTAGGACTGCTTGGGATGTGCCACGACGGTCGTCGGTGTGGTCTTGAAACACTGGAGGAGGAAAGCAGTGTAGATGAGGAAGGCGATGATGATGGCGAGAAGAGCGTACATGAACAGGTTGAGTTCAGGCTGTCGGAATCGGTTCTTCCTCAGCCACTCCAAGACATCGATTTCGGAATGTAGGTCTCCCCTGTAGATGCTGGGGAAACGGCGCCTGAAGTAGACTATCGCGGGGAGGTTGGTCACTCCCCATTTCCTCGCGTATCTGGGGTCGGCCATCTTCACGAAGGTGATGTCAAAGTTGTCGGTCTCGCTGTCGATGTTCTCTAATTTTTCCATGATGACCTTGCTTTCTTCGGAATTGACTTCATCTGGAACAGTTTAATCGAGAGAGTGATAAGCAATAAAGTGTTTATCTACTTCTGATATATTTTTCATTAAATGTTCTAAAGCAAAAACTTACAGAAAAACACAGTGACGTATTCGTTCTCCTCCAACAATTTCTCCAACATCTTTTTGTTGACTTCCTCAATTTCATTCTTGATTTCGAAGACGTCTTGCGACGTGAGCCAGTCCAGAACTCTGTCAGCTTGTGTTAGATCGCCATCGTACACCATGGGCTTCTTTTTTCGGAAATACATCAAGGCCGGTAAGGTGTGTAGCCCTTGTTCTGCGGCTGCCTCAGCGCTGCATATCTTCACGAAGTCGATGCCGAATAAGTCGGCTTCTCCGTCTATTTCCTCCAAGTTCTCCAGAATCTCTTCGCATTCGGGACAGTCTTCCTCGTCTTCAACAGATAAAATTGACTTCAAATTGATGAAACTTGAATTAATGGGAGGTATAATTAACTACTATAGACAAAAATTCACTGAACTGGTATTCAGGTCTATCAATGCTGAGCACGGAAAAAAGTTTTGACACCACCGAATATTTTGGAAATTGTATAATTTTATTGTTAATGTTACTTCTAACGAAGAAAGTATCACGATACGGAAAATACTGTTTCCTGATGGGACAGGGTATTCCATTTGAATTTAAAATGTTTTGTCGGTTTTAAGTTTTCAAAATATAACGTGAAAAATGGGACACTTAGTATAATTTTCTTTAGGTAATTTTGATAGGGGTGCATCTTATGTTTTTGTGTATTCCAAAATTCCAAAAAGCAAGAAGAACGAAGAAAGATATAAGGAAGGATAATTAATTTATTTCGTTGATAATGCAATAATATAATAGGGTGTTCCATTTAAAATAACGAAGTTGACAGCTACTTCCGGTATAACCTATGTTGATGGCATTATTTTCATTGAAGAGGACATATATGATAATCCCCGTAAACAAAATTTCAGAGTCATATTGTCTTTGGTTCCTCTGAAACGTCTAAAAGGTCATTTACCGTGAAGAACCCTGTATAAAGATACTTACAGAAGAAAACTGCTAGGAATGGAGATTCTTGCAAAAGTCTGATGAGCATCCTTTCATTGACGGATTCTATTTCATCAGCCAGCTCCCTGTTGTCATCATCTACCAGCCATTCTAAAACCGACTGTTCATTCTGCAAGTCCCCTTCAAAAAGCAGAGGGTTGCCGTTTCTAAAGTATACCAGGGCAGGGAATGTCTTGATGCTATATCTCTTAGCTAATTGCGGGTCCTGTATCCTCACTAAATGAATACCGTACACGTCACATTCGTCATCAATCTTCTCCAATTCTTCCAGAATCTGTTCACAGATGTGGCAGTTCTGTTTGTAAAAGTACACCGCTAGGTATTGGGTGTCTTCGACTAAATTTTCCAGCATCACCCTGGTTATTAGTTCGATCCTGTCTTCCGTTCGCTGTGTTATCAGCCATTGAAGCACTTCTTCCTCCTCTTCTATGTCTCCTTCAAAGACTCCTCCTACGCCCGTTTCGAAGTACATGAGCACCGGAAAGTCAGTAGCGCCGTACTGTTCGGCGATTCTCAAGTCTTGAGTCTTAACGAATTTGATGCCATGGCGCTCGCAGTCATCGTCTATGTTCTCTAGTTCTTCTAGGATTTGGTTGCATTGCTCGCACTCGTCACTGTCTGTAGGGAGAGGAAAATTAGAATAGAAGTTTTTTTTAACGGGAAGGTGAAAAAATTTGTTAGAGGAACTGTTTTGTTACTAATTTTCATGAGCAGTTAAAAAGTATAAAAAGATTTTTACCAAAACAAATTGCAGGACTAAGCAAAAATTGTTAGTCAATTGATTCAATATAAAGCCATAAAATTTGGTTAGTATATTCAAAAATAACTTTCTTTTCAAGTAAATAAGAAATGTGAGGATACAGCATACTTTAAAAACTAGTCAAAAAATAATTATAAACTGATTTGTACATCGAGTCCTGCTTCGTCAACTGGTGCCTGTACTATAGAAGGAATAATATAAGACACTCTATAGTAAAGTATAAGAATATGGGCAAGTGTTGTATAACTAAAGCTATTTTGGTCAGGTTCTGTAGTCTCAGATTCATTCAATACTGGTTTCATTTTTTTCTTTATATTTAAAAATCTTCGCGGTTATACGTTTTGTGATTGGTTACCACGTCTTCCGTTTAGATTCCTTGATATGTCGAGTGGCATATCTTCTTCAGAAGAAACTTTGGAATTGAGTTTTATCTAAACAGATGACGCAGCATCCAGCCCCAAGATCGTGTAACCTTTAGTAACAGTCACAAAAGTTTACAACAAACTTGAGTTGAGACTTATTTGTTGTCACCATATACTTTGATAATATTTTAGACTGACTTTACTGGTCTGTTATAAGTTATCTTCAGGGTGTGACTGCGATATTAACACAAACTTCCAGGACTCTGGATTCTTTCCACAAAATTAACAAAACACAAACCCTAAATTTAAACATGAGACTTGAAACGCAATGTTTGATCGATTACTGAAAATACATTGAAAATATAGGTTTCGAACTTGCTACTGTGGGGTGTATACAAGGTGTCCCACGGTGACGAGACATTAGACATGTTTCAGAGACTACTTCGATTTTAATTGTGAAAGTTTAGGCAAAAGTGTTTTCGAACATACTCTTCTCAACTAAAATAATGGCGTCCACCTGACGCTTCCGGTTATTTTAAATGGAACATCCTGTATATTATTGCAATTTTGGATTCTACGTCAATTTTTAGGTGATAAAGGTTTCCTTTTCTTAAAGTTAACCGTTTTTGATATATTTAATTTTTTTCAAAACAAATTGGAAAAGCTCTGCCTAATTCAAAAACATGTGTATTTTGCAAAAATAAGGTTAGACTGATAAAATTCATAGGGGACATAACTAAAACTCTAAGCTTCTCTGCCATAATTTCAAAATGACTTAATTTCATAAATGGTGGTAGAAATTTAATACCCAATTTAGTCAACTTTAAACCATCTTATCTTGTTTTTTTTTTTTAAATTGGAACACCCTGTATATTTTTGCGCAACCTGATGAACAATTTTGTTCTCTTTCGAATAGTATAATGGGTCTGTATACCTATCTCTAAAAAAGGGAAATGTTTATTCGTAAATAAAATGAACTCCACTGGATTTAGGTATAGGGAAACTTTAACAAAGTTACTCTTAATTTTAGTGGAGAATGCGAATACGTTACAAAAAAATAGGGGTTTCCATTTAAAAATTTCGAGTTTTCCACATTTTCTGAATTTCATATTCGATCTTTTTTTTTGACTACCCTGTATAAAAATTGGATAATTTTCATGTCAAATTCGATATATTAGGTTTTCCTCTACAAAATGTCCAAAATAAACTTATGTTTCCGGGAAAACTAAATTTTGCTGACAGTCTGCATCTGTCAATTCTCAAAATATCTCGCAAATAGTCAATCCTAAGTATGGAGTGTGCTATATGTTTTCAACTGCTCAATAGATGCTTTTTCCAAAAATGCAATAATATACAGGGGGTTCCATTCAAAATAAGAAAGTTACTATCGACTTCCGGTATAACCGGAAGTACGATGACCTTGAAAATATTTTAGCTTGGTAGTCTCCACGGTCCGCATCACACTATCACAATTTCAAACAAATCCATCATCAATCTCTCACATCGACACATGCCAATGTTGTCCCATTTTATTTTATCCGGAGAATCGACTTCTTTCTACAATATAGCTGTTCTACACTTTTCCGGTTGCAGAGATAGAACTTGTGACATCGATTCAAGTTCTGACGCCCTAAATCGTTCGGCCACCACCAATTTGCTAAAGAAAATTTTATGCGATGTTAAATAGTTTGGCAATCAGACACCTAATTTCTACATTAGTCGAAGTCATTCTAGAAATGTTACATGCTGTCAGCTGCTATAAAAAAATTAAACTGTAACAAGTTTCACAACCAATATAAGAATAATAGAGTCCTTAGCATTGTTTCTAGGAAAAATTTTACCCCATTTTATTTATTGAGATGAAGAAATTAGTCCTGAAGTTTGTGGTAACGTACGTATTACACCCTGTATATACCTACTAAATTTCTTGATATATCAACACAAAAGAAAATAAAGACCAATTTGTTTCTTCAGCATTGTGCACTTGCCGACATATTTTAGAACTACGGGGAAATAAGTACCGTTATCTCTACTATCGCCCTCTTCCTCCGAACTCTTCTTCTGGATCTTTCTCGGCCGCTGCTGCTCCATCTCACTGCACAAGTCGCACAGGGTCTTGTTCCCTGAACACACGCCGTGAGTTGTTAGCGTCGCAAAAGCGTGTTAAATTTAAGTCCAAGTTTCAAAGCCAAGGATAAATCAGATAGCATCTAGAATACAAAGCACCACCACATGTTGAGTCGACAGAATGTTTCCTTTATTAATTCATTGAAGGATTTATTAAAGTTAAATAACTTTACTGATTCATCCTTGGATCAGCAAAAATTTTACTTCAAGTTTCATGTCATAGCACTTACAGAAGTACACAGCCAAAGCTTCTTCGGTATCAATCAACGTGATCAATTCACTCCCTTCAGTCGCTTCGATGATATCCCCAGAGGGATCCTTTTGGGTCAGTAGCCACGAAAGGATTTGTTGCTCGTCGTAAAGATCTCCAGCATATATCACCGGCTCTTTCGAGCCAGACTTGAAGAACAGAATGGCGGGAAGGGCGAATACCCCCAGCTCTTTAGCCATCTGCTTGTCGTCGATCTTGACAAAGTTGATTCCAGCGGAATCGGCCTCGTCGTCGATGTGCTCCACCTCGGAAAGGACCCTAGGGCATTGTTTGCAGTCGCTGCTGTCTAAAACATTTAACTTAAAGAAAATTTTGTATGTGACATCATCGTAACACAAGTTGTTTTCCCTTTTACTGTATTTTCCCCATTGAATGTTAATATGCAAAACGTCAAAGAGGCGCAACGTTGTCATATTGCTCATACTCACATAAAAACACTGCCACGTAGTCAGACCTCTGCCTGATCTTCTCAAACATTTTTCTGTTAACCCTCTCTATGTGATCGGTTAGTTCCATATTTTCCGGATCTGTCAACCAATCCAGGACCTCTTCTTCATCGTCTATGTCTCCATCGTAGTTAATGGGTTTACCTTTCCGGAAATAAGTAATTCCAGGTGGATCCCTCCAACCGTACTTCTTCGCCATCAGTCTGTCTTTCATTTTCACGATCTTTATTCCGTATTCTGCTGCCTCATCGTCGATTAGTTCTATATGTCGCAGAATCCGGGGACTGTCAGGATCCTCTTCTTTATCTATAGCAATAATGTATCATCAATTCCACAAGATTTCATTGTTACTGTTATTTACAAGGTGAAAACAAATGTAATCTATCTTAGTCCTAAAATGATTCATTTGAGAGTTATGGGGTGTTCAACTCAAGACTCGATTAATCTCATTCAAATCACTTTCAAACATTTCAATTCCTTACATCAATGCGGTTTTGAAAATATTTTTGCAGCGTAAGGATCTTATAAGGAAAAATACTGACTGCTTTCACTTAAAATTGCTAGACTTTGAGTAAAAAGGGAGGATTCGATTTGCTGCTTTGGAAAAAATAGAAGCTGAAGATACCTAAGATGATTCTAAAAGAACTCTTGTAGTTTAGAAGGATATTACAACTTTTACAAATAGTTTTTATTAAATAAGTTAAAACAGCAACGCAATAGTAACAAAAAACCTCTCATTTTATTCAAAATCTAGCAGTGTTAAAGATGGACATATAATATTGAACTATTTTAATACGCTAATTGTTGTATGACTGCTGTTTTTTTGGAACAACTGATGAGTTTCTGCCTCTAACATTTTAACAAATATTTTTTTGAGGCCTACATCTCTTGTTGGATTTCCTTCAAATCCTCAGAAACACCTCAGTTTGAGTAGGTATTATTTTGTGCACGTTAAAAAAAATTAAACTAAAAATACTAAATCCACAAATTTTGTCCACCTAGATAAAATAATCTACCTATATAATGTGCAATACTGGGGACATAAACTTACAAAACACCACCGCCAGAAATTCCTTGGTGTCAATGTAGTTGAACAGCTTCTCCCTGTTTATTTCTTCTATGCTTTGGTCATTTTTCTGGTCTGTCATCCAGTCCAAAACCTCGCCCTCATCGAGAAGGTTACCTGAGGAAAAACTGATAGAGCGAATTGTAAAGGAACCAATTGAAAATATTTTATTACGTACAAAAGTTTTGGAATGGCAAGAGACAGAAATCAACTTACCAGTCAGTGTCGTTTACGAAGAACAGGTGTTCTTTTTTCATTCTTGCGATTTTTTTTAAAGTGGGTAGTCTATAACGAACTATTTAAATACGTTATTGAAGTTGGCTCGTTATCGGGTTTTAACACTCAGTCACCAGTAGGTGGTAAACGTCCAATATTTCTTTGAAGCAAGTTACTTTTACGTAAAATTATGATGCGGAAGCCTGGAATATATCATCCTAACAAACAATTGTAGGCAGAACGTCGTAATACGTGTTTGTAAGTGACAATGCGTTGCCAAGTGTTATTCATCACTGCCCAGTTGTGATGTAGGCAATGATCAGAAATAAGTAAAATGCGTTTTTCAGTTTGAAAATGATGCTGTCGCGGGTGGATGCTAATTTGAGCGGAAAGCATTGAAATCGCAACGGAAGCAACTTGCGTTCATTGTGGCAAATGTGCAAGTTTTTTAATGAGTAAGTATAAAACTAACAGAAAACACATATAACAATAATATTAATGATTATGTGGCATGGTTAATTTATTGTTTTTGGGTGGATTTTTAATGAAAAGCACCTATGTACAGGGTGATTCACTCTAGTTTGACCTCGCCATTAACTTTTTTGTTTTTAGATTAAAAAAATGAGAAATATAAAAGTTGCACAAACAACTGAAGTCCAAATAAAATGGCCGCGAATGTTAACTTTGTTAATTTAAATGGAACACCCTGTATATTTTTACATATTTGGATAGAACGTTCCCTGTCGAGCATAGTTATAGCGGGTTGGTTGGGTCCATCTCTAATAATAAGCGAGATACTATAAAAAAGCAAAAAGAAGTAGGTTTTTGTTAAGAAAATAAGATATCTTGTAATTGTTAGAACCCTCTCAAGCATTTCTGCGTTGTTTCCCATTATATAAGGATTTACAGATTTAGTTGTAATATATTTTGACATATCTGACATTGATACGGTCCAAAATGCGTATAATTATTTTAACTAAATCTCACTAATTAGGCCGTCATAAGCCTAATTAGTAATTACTCATGGACAATGTTATATGGTTGGTTGTGATAGTGATAGGTAATGTCATGACAACATTATTATTGTTTGACATTTTGTAATATTATTTCAGAAATAGAAAATTGAAATATAGGAATTAAAATAGAGTATGGAGATGAACAACAATAATTTATAGTATTACAATTACAATTTTACAGCTAACAACTATATAATATTTAAATTACAAATATTTCTCAAATTGCCTACATTATTTAAAACACTAAGCTCATATCTTATTATTAATTATTTACTCAATTCAAATTATTATTATTGTTTAACTCATAAATAGTTTCTCTAATTTTATTTCTAATCATTTGTACGCACTTATTAAAATTATTATTAACTTTGTTCTTTAAAAATGCCCACAAAAATGTATTTGAGAGTGTTAAATCGGGACTGTCACTGTCACGCCAACCATATAACATTGTCCATGAGTAACCTCTCATGGCCTGATAAGTGAGATTTAGTTAAAATACCTATACGCATTTTGGTCAGTATATGTCAAAATATGTCAATTAAATCTGTAAATTCTTACTTACTTGAAAATAAGGCAGAAATGCCTGAAAGAGGTCTAACAATTACAAGATATCTTATTTTCTTAATAAAAAATCTTTTCGTTTTTTAATAGTATCTTGCTTATTGTAACAGATGGACCCAACAAACCCTATATGTCGGTGCTGGACAAGTAACGTTCTATCCAAATATGTGAAAATATATATCCATTTAAATTAATAAAGTTAACACCCTCCGCCATTTTGTTTGGACTTCATTCGTTTGTCTATTATCATTTTCGAAAACTTCATAAAAAAATCCTGTAACTTTTGTATTTCACATTATCTTATAATTCTAAAATCAAAAAAGTTAATAGTGTGTTTTCAGTGTGTTTTTCTTTGAAAACCTAATCTAGTATACAAGGTGTTTTAGAAAACATGGGCCAACGCTCGGGGGCAGATTTCTAATCTAAAATCAACATGGGTCCGATTTCGCTCCGTTCCTTAGTTACAAGTTTTAAAATAAAATTTGTTTTTTCCAAAAATCTAGATTTCCACTTGAGGGAATTAAATGAAACGACAACTAACTATTTACAAACAAATACACATTCCTAGGTACTATTATGTTGAACATGAATTACAGGCCGGAAAACGAAAAAATAGTAAGTCAAGTTTTGATCAAAATTGAGCTAGAATTTAACCCTTGTAATTATAAATTAGAAATCTCAAAGGAGAATCAATTTTTTCTTCGATTAAATCCAAGGGCTTGCAAGTAAGTCGGGTACTGTAATTCATGTTCAACATAAAAACACCTAGAAATGTGTATTCCGTCGTATATAGTTAGTTGTCCAAATTTTATTTAATTCCCTCAAGTGGAAATCTAGATTTCTGGAAAAAACTAATTTTATTTTAAAACATTGACACTCTGTAACTAAGGAACGAAGCGAAATCGGACTCATGTTAATATGAAAAAATAATCTTGTTTTTAGGTTAGGAATCTGCCCCCGAGCGGTGGCCCATGTTTTCCGAAACACCCTGTGTAATATTGAAATACTAAAGACAATTATTTAAATTAACGTCAAATATGATCTATATTTTTGACCAATTGCTATTAAAATATGTACTGTACTTTGATTTTTGGGAGATCCAGTTGATTCAACAAGATTTTTATAAAATTAAATTCCAGAACTCACTGGGTAACAATTTGGAGATTTCTAAGATGCGTTCTTTGACACTTTCCATTTCTTTTCCGAAAATAAACCATACACTCGGAACAATGCAATCCACGTCACTTCATTTTAACACTGTTTTTGTATCTTGCTTTATCTTGTCACAATTTTTCTTATTTCAGGTAGATTTAGACTTCTACCAATTAAAATAGAATTTTCTCGAAGTTTTCATGGAGAATTAATCTTTATTATTATTTCTTTCATAAGATGCCGTTTGGATATCTTCTAGAGAAGCTAGCAGCCCGCCATGAAAATCCTTTATTAGATAATCTTCCGAAGAGGCAACTACTTCAATAGAATTCTAGTTGAATATTAACTTTATTTAAATTTCTGTTCGTTATAGACTCCTCCTTTCCATGGTTGGACCACTTCAGCTGACGTAAGGCTAGCTTTTGTGTAAACTATATAATAAACAGTAATAGAAAACAATTTATTTGTATTTCCAACATTTTACAAGTGTGGTGTTTATGTACATGCGAGGTGTGCGGCAGTGTTTGTAGCGCTGACACCGACAGTTATCAACAAGTACACCCCCGAATGCAACTAGATCTTTTGGACTGTTAAGATGGTAAGATACAAAGCAAACACGTAGAGCCATTCAATCTCGGTGGATTCAGGGTTGTTCAGTTCTATTTGGTAGTAGATACAGTCGTCAAAATGCTACACTTTCAACAATTTAACAATATAATCAATAACAATATTTACATAGCTACTAAGTACTTAAATAGAAAAGCTATAATGTTTAAGTAGTTGAGCGAGAAGGGGCAAGTACCCACTATAGAGGTGAAGTAAATAAAAACAGTTCAAACTCAACTAAGGTGCCTGGGTAGATGCTCCTTCAGGAGGACCACTAATGTTATATCGCATCGGTACCGCAAGCTTGTCCGGCCTGGATCATGCTTTTGTTAAGAATCCGCAAGGTTAGTAGCTTGTGTTCCTTTTGAAGGATGTGTGGTTTAGTTCACAATCAGACAAGTCTTGCGGTACGGAGTTAATGAAACATTCGCAGTGGCAAAACAAACAAATATATCATGTGGTTGAAAAGGTGACAATGATATTAACTATTTCTTAACGCTGCTATAGGTATATGAACTTATAGAAAAAGTCACTCGAAAGCCATTAAAACAGCAGAATATTATAGTAGTTGTGGGGTCAAAGTCGAATTAGAGATGGATTGCCTGAGATCACAATACAATCCTCACCATTGCGTTCACGCTTCACCATGGAAAATTTGACGATTAGTGTCCATTACCTACCACCACCAGATATATTTACCGGTGCCGAAAAATCCTTTCTTTCCCTTGCCCTTCTCTCCCTTCGCAGGCGGGGCCTTCTCTTTACCGTTTTTAACATCTTTGCTACCCGGCCTAGGCGGGAGGGGGTGGTTGGCCTTGGAGACGGTCTTCATGGGCGCAGGGACCGGTTTGTCGATCTTTTTCACTGCCTTGGTCGACGATGGCTTGGCGGTGACCAGCTTGATCTTGGGCTGGAACTTGGCGACCTTGCTTCCTCCGGCCGGCTTGGGGCAGCATTGGTAGGGCTCGAACGCGGGGTTAGGGAGCTGGCCCTTGCCGCCCATCCCGATGTAGAAGCAGCCATCTCCTGCAGCAGGAATACATAATGTCAGAATTCACTCATAAATGTGATCACAGATAGAGAGAAGGAAAGAGTTGTATATATTAAGAGCGTTTAGCTGTTAGTAAGTATATTAAGTGGTGATACAGAGGAGTGAGAGTCTGACACTATGCCCTGCATGCAGCGAGGAGGGGGAGACATGCACAGACAAGGACGAGGACGCCCACTCCAAGAAGCAACGACTACATCGTCCAGGACTGCCGGACTCTCGGTCTGCCACAATATGATCTACGTGCTATGGGGTGAGGCGCTTGGTATACCAGATTACTTTTAACATATCGAGACGGTTCGTTATTATATGGCTAGACATGTCCCAAAAACAAAATTAAAACGTATCATATGTAATTGCTAAAAAATAAACAAAGATATCTACTGGTCGATACCGCTGGTTTAAAAACTGGTACCAAGTTGGCAATATGGTTAACCGAGAGATATACGATTTCGACTGATCGTGAGATACATTTACGTTTACAGATGTTTCTCAACAAGTAGTACGGAGCACACTGT